ATAAGAAAGAAGGCCCCATGGTGGGTACCAAACTGTTGATATTAGTCATCAAACAGGGAATAATTTGCAAGCTTGTGGAGTGATTAAGGTCCCCTAACTCCTCCTAATGTATGGCTTTGGGATTTTCTGTTCTTCCTTGCATAAGAAAGAACTCGTAAGAGGGTGGAGTTGGGTTCTCCGCTTGTTCTTATGGCGATCAAGTCGGTAGGTGAACTTTAGTGGGGAAATATATAGTTAGCTCTTAGTTTAGTTAAAAAGACCAGAGAGTGTTACCGCATACAGTTCCTCTCCTTTTTATAGTGGATCTGAGGGGCAAGAAGGTAATTTGGGCTAAGTCCAGCTAGGCAGCTGAGTCGGCAGACATGTACTACATGTCAGTTGTCGAAGGATGTGAGTCACTTGGTCATTTATTATGGGAATGACAGTAGGTGCTCGGTGCTAACTGGGTCCGATGAGTCGTAACGACTATGAGGGCTAGAAAAATAATGACTTTGTCAGAGTAATTAATGCAAGGACAGGCGGCTGTCGGCGTAATATTTGAGAAAAGTACTAACTCTTTTAGTCGTCCAGCAGACGGTCGACTATACATGTTGACGGCTAATACAACGGGCCAAGTGGGGGTTATTTGCAGGGGCGATTTGACCGGGTTGGACGACAAGTACCGTCTTTTGACTTGGTTACACGAGATGTCAGCTGAACAGCGGGCCGAGTCGGGTGACTTGTGGAATCAATCAAAGGGCTGGCCGAGTAGTACTGCCTTTTATCTCGGTTACGCGAGATGCCGGCTGAACAATGGGCCGAGATGAGGCGGATACTATCTTCATATTGAATTAGATATATTAGATATAGTGTAAGACATATGGTGATTGCTCTGTGGAAATTAATATTAGTATGTTATAGGGGTGTAACAAGTATATTAGAGAGATTATGATCAATTACCAAAAACATTAATTGAAAAGTGGGCCTACATGGTTTATTGCCAAACCCGCCCTCCCTAAAGATGATTTATTTATAAACTAATAGTGGTTTGCATGAAAAGCCTCCTCTTATAATTAGTATTTAGAAAGAATTGATGGAAAGTAAATTTCGACAGATTGTTGGTCAACCCAAATCCAATTTTAATTAATCCAAACCCAATCAAAGACCTCTAAATATATATATTGTCGCTAGGATTTGAACCACCAACCTCCTCTTCAAATTCCTAAAATTTACCACCAGACTACGTAGCCCAAAGTATTCATGTCACTCAATATATGTATATGTATGTGTGTGTGTGTGTGTGTAGAGAGAGAGAGAGGAACTTATGTCAACTTAAGTGGATATCCACTAAGTTTCTTAGTCATTGATGATCACTTGATTGAGCTACATTGTAGATGATCCGTTCCGTTGAACTTGATCTACATATTCTAAAACCCCAACACACCAAATTTGGGGTGAACCCGTCGTGGTTTGACCCTTCATCCACTTGTATCAATTTTAAAGGTTTTGAATGAATAAAACTTTTTATATTGCTCGATGGAGGGTCAAACCACGACGGGTTCACCCCAAATTTGGTGTGTTGGGGTTTTAGAATATGTAGATCAAGTTCAACGGAGCGGATCATCCATAATGTAGCTCAATCAAGTGACCATCTATGACTAAAAAACTNAGTCTTATAAAAAATATATAAAAATTAAAAAAATAAAAAGAACTATTCTGGGTCGGGCGCCGTCGAGGCAGCCCGGAACCCGGTTTTGACCCGGGTTTCTGAGCCAACCCGGGCCCGGGCCGGACACCAGGCTGGCGAGCTAAATGGACAGGGCTAAACATAACAATTATGACGTTGTCCTGGAAGAACTCAACTAGCAAGTTCTTGTTGACTAGCTCGTATGTACAACAATACTCTGTCCTAAAAGTTTAGGCAATGGAACTAGATCAATATAATAGTTTAGGAGTCATCCATATACAATCACAAAGTTCTTGATGCGATACTTTGTTTATAGATTACGACCCAATAACTAAAAATATCTTCCATGCATGGAGTGTGGAATACAAATCCTATGAGAACAATCTACATGTGAATAGTCTATTCAAATCCATACGAGGAGATAACGAAAATCCTCAATCTTGCTGTCTATTTTGTTTTGTGTGAATCAAGACACACAGTACACATGCAAACTATTCGGACTGTGTTCACACTCCCAACAAATGTTATCATTAATCAACATAATTGAAAATGTTAGATTAGTCTTAGCTTTGCCTTTTAAAAAGCTATGGATTGTTTAACTAGAGACGCATTCAGATTAAGGGGGGATTAATTATTCAAGAAATATTTGTTATTATTGACCTCGAATCACTTCAACAACGTACCAATCAAGAACTATTTATTCATTAAACAAGCAAAGTAAAACACAAGCACACTAAATAGGATAATCTTTTATTTAGTACCGCTCTCTCTCTCTCTCTCTTTTAAACTTACCCTTGCTCATAATCATAGACTTTTAAGCATAACCACCACCATCACTTGCCCATTAACCCACCCACCACCATCTCCGACCAAAAACCCCACATCCGCCGCCCTCCCCAGCCTCCCCAACGGACACTTTTAAGCAAATTTATGATCCTGTTGGCAGGGATTAGATATTAATATTGCGGCATATTTGTTGTTGACGTAAAAAAAAAAAATACTTACTTACTCTTAGCTAGTCATGACAATCTCAAGACACATTTACGGATTCAAAAACAAGACGTGTGACTGCGGAGTTCGGTAATCCCACCCCTTTCAAATTTCAAAGAGGAAATTTTCACTGTAGACTCGGTTTAATTTTTTATTACCGAATTCGATCTTGTTGAGTTTTAATTAGCGGAATTGACCCGGTTTCTCGTCACGTCAGCGCCGTGGCGAGAAACCGGGTCGATTATTTTTTAAACGGCCTCGTAAACAGTCGGGGTTGCCAACCCCGACTGTTTAGTCCATCCGCTACGAAACACTTAACTAATTGGTCGGGGTTGGGAACCCCGACCAATTCGAAAAGGTCCCATTTCGAATTGGTCGGGGTTCCTAATCCCGACCAATTAGCAGAGCCCAGTCGTCGCTGGGTTAACCAGTGGACGAATTGGTCGGGGTTGGGAACCCCGACCAATTCGAAATGCTCCTATTTCTGGTCGGGGTCCCAACCCCGACCATTAAGCAGAGGCCAAACGCGGTGCTTGGCCAAGGCAAAAAGTAGTCGGGGTTGGGAAACCCGACTACTTATTCTGGGCCCCCTCCACCGTATAAAAGCCACCGAACCCTATATCTCATTTCTTCGCCTCCCTCTTCTCTCTTCCGTCCGTTCTTCCGAAACCAAGCTTCAGATCTCAAGTTTCAACTTGTTTCTTCAGCCAAAATTCAAATCAAAAGTTATCTTAAACTTCTTTAGGTAATTTCTTCTACTCCTCACCTCTTTTAACATGTTGAAATCTAGGATTTTTTCTTAAAAATAAATTTCTAGGGTTTTCATTCATAAATGAATTTCGTGGGTTAGAGTTATCACTGAAATTCGTTTGTATGATTATTGTTATCGATGTAATTAACTTTTAGGGTATAGAATGTTCAATTGTTCAATTTTAGGGTTTAGGATTTACAATTTGGGAATTAGGGTTTTTGGTTGAAATTATATGAGATTATTTACATATTAATTTAATTTTTTATATTTAAATGATATAAATTTTTTTGAATAGGTTGAACAATCTAATTTTTATTGCTTGTTCTTATGGTGGGCAAATTAATTATGGGATCAATAATATGCTAATGTACGTTGGAGGGGTAACGACGCCATTAATGATCTCGGAATCATATAGTTACTACGACTTGGTTATGTAATTACACCGAGTTACGAAAATTGACCCACGAGAATACCAACTAAAAATTATATGCAATTGGCGCATAGCTATTGATAGAACATCCGCAGTGGAGATCTCGAACGATTATCATATGAGTATTATGTTTAAATTGGGCAAGTCGTAACAAACGGTAGAATTGTTTATTGAAAAGTTGCCACATAATTCGTGCCAAATATTCAAACCTCCAGGAGAATTCTCACGCATGTTAGATATGGGAGTTCATTCCGATGGGTTTCTTTCTTCTTCGAATGAAATGGAGCGGGCTCAATTCGGTGGAACGTCAAATGTCATGAATAACGAAGTCTCTTATGGAAATATGGGGTCGTTAAGTAGGGCAACAATCGAAGAGGATGAAAGAAACAATGACTCGGGAGGTGAAGAACAATATAGTGCACCAGTTGATAGCATGCAATTTGTTACCCAAGACGTCGAAGATAATCCGAAATTACCTGATGAGGCTTACGTTAATAATGACTATGTTGAGTACGAAGAACCACCCCCCGACGAGTTTGAAGATGATGAGTGGATTCGTTCTTCCACAGTAAAAGATATGTGCATCGGTGGAAGTTCAATTCGTAGAGGAGATGATGACGCCCCCTTTAAAGTTGGTGATTTATTCGAGACTAAAGACTAACTAGTTGATGCCATTCGTGAATACTCTTTCGAAAAGAATTTCAAGTTCAAGCAAGTTAAAAGCAACCACACAAGTTATGATGCAATATGTTTTATGAACACACAAAGAACAGGTCTGACCGAGGGAAATGAAGCTGATTACTCATGTCCTTGAAAGTTATATGCATTTGCAGGAAAGAAACACAATTTTCAATTTAGGATCAGTGAATACTGCGGTGTTCACACATGTGTCAATCCAATATTAGAGCAAGATCACAATGGTGCATCTGCCTCTTACATAGCACAGTTGATTATGCCAAAATTAAGGAAGAAGCTTGATCTAACGCCCGATAATATAATTGAGAAAGTGCTTGATACCAAGTTCATTAAAATCTCGTATATTAAAGCATGGAATGCAAGGAGAATTACGATGACAAAAATATTTGGTGATTAGGATAAGTCTTACGATGCGATCAAAAGAAGTAATCCTGGATCTGAATACAAAAACTCATAACCAAAGAGATCGATCCGGGAGTTCATCAATTCACCTCTGTTTTTTGGGTATTTGGGCCTTCGATTGAGGGGTTTAAATTTTGTCGGCCTATTCTTAGCATTGATGGCACACACTTATACGGTAAATGCAAGGGTGTACTGCTTGTTGCTACAGGAGTTGATGCAGATGGTGGCTTATTTCCTTTGGCCTTTATCGTTGTGGAGGTCGAGAACAGTGAAAATTAGGAGTGGTTTTTTTCTTGCATTCAATTATATATTTTTAATGTGTTGTCTCCTAGAAAAATTACTTTCATATCTGATAGGATGAAAGGTATTCCAAAAGCATTGTGGAGGAGATTTGGCTCTCATCACCATCATCGTTATTGCTTACGACACATTAGAGCTAACTTCAAAAAGAGCTTTAGTCAGATTCATTTACAAAACCTTCTGTGGCAAGCGGGTTGTACGCCCGAAACATGTGTGTATGATCGGAAACGAGATCAAATCAAGGAAACATTTCAAGCTGCACATGATTGGATTGAGAGTAGTCTGGGCAGTGATTACGTCGATCGGTAGGCACTTAGTAAAGATGGAGGGAATCGGTTCTGCATGATGACAACCAATTGTTCTGAAAGCTTCAACAGGGTACTTAAGGGGGCTCGGGCAATGCCCATACAGGCGTTGGTTGCGAGGATATTTTATAGGCTTAATTACTATTTTGTCAAGCGGTGAGAGGATGGAGCAATGTGGGCCTCGTTCTTGACACCAAAAAATAAGGCGATTTTAGGAGCTCGAGTTAAGCAGGCGAGGGGTACAAAGATTGTTAGATTTGCTGTAGATGAATGGGAGGTTACAGACAAACATGGTCACAATTACACCGTTAACTTGGGAGGTGCACATTGCACATGCACCTATAACATACCGGAATTACAAAAATTGCCTTGTTCACATGTTATAGCGGTTACGTCCAAGCAATCGGGGGTGCAAATATTTCATATTACACATACGCTTCTGAGTGGTATCAATCAAACAACTATAGAGAGGCATATAAGTAGTGTTTCCACCCCGTACATGATAGTCGTTATTGGCCACACTATAACGGGCCGCATGTGGTGCCTCCAAGCTATAAGAGACAAGCCGGACACCCGCGATCAGTACGCTTAAAAGGTACGATGGATGAAGGCCAGGAAGGAGCTCCAAAAAAAATATATGTGGATATTGCAGACAAGCCGGGCATAGAAGATCTCATTGCCCGACCAATCCAAATAGATAGCAATTAATGGGTATAATTTTATACATTTGTAATTTTATACAATTTTATACAATTAATGGATCATCATTATATGTGCAGATATTTCAGTTATGGAGGCGGGTCCATTGACACATGATGTCCTTTATGACCAAGAGCGCCACCGATCCGCGAAGATAGACGCTAGGGAGGTAAAGTGCATTTTTATTATTTTCAATTATATATAAATTTCAATGTAGTTGATTGTTACTGAACATTTACACTGTTTACTACATGCAGGCCCCGAGTATTGCTATTGTTGATCATACTCGTGCACACTCTGGCTGGGAGTTGACGGATCCATAGATACAGTATTATGTGCATCAAGCTGGCTTTTTTAAGTGTTCACAACTTAAATGGGTAAGACTTGATTGGGCACTTTTGACGGCATTGGTTGAACGATGGAGGTCCGAGACAAATACTTTCCATCTGCGTCAAGGAGAGGCGACGATTACCTTGCAGGATGTTGGGGTTATACTTGGCCTCAGAGTAGATGGTGATGCAGTGACGGGCACCGATGACTTCAACTATGTCAGGGCGTGTGAAGAATTGTTGGGTCACTGTCCTGCAATGAAGGGGGGGGGAGATCAAGCTCAAATGGTTAAGGAATAGCTTTATGAATGTACCGATCTATGCGACTGATGAGATCATTAAGAACTATGCCCGTGCATATATTTTACATATGATCGGTACTATTCTGTTTCCGGATTCCACTAAGGATTCTGTGCACGTGAGATGGTTACCGCTTCTTGGGGACCTATCGGAGTGTGGAGAGTTATCTTAGGGGAGTGCAGTGTTAGCCTACTTGTATAGGGAGATGACGAAAATAACGCTCGTACAAAACAAAGAATTGAAGGGCTGCCTCGCTTTGCTACAGATATGGTCATGGGAGCGATTGCATTTGGGAACACCTGATTTGAGGGAGGCCCGTGCTCTCGATGGCCATATTCCGTTAGGCTGCAAGTATTATTAAGATGCATGTAATTTTAGTGTTTTATTTCAATATATACTAACACGTTGTATATAAAATAGATGGAATGTGTCCAGATCTTGGCAAACCTCTCCAAAGGGGCGTGAAAACTTTTACAGAAAAGATGGAGGATGAACAGGTATAAAAATTATAATATCTAAATATATTCAATTATGCGACCAATTGTTACCGATATCTAAATATATTCAATCAATATATCAAAATATCTTCTTTATAGGTCAAATGGATGCCCTACGAGCTAGTGTTGGAGTCACTACTGGATATTTGCCGGGAAGGTGATGATGTATGGCGTGCTCGCATCCCACTTATATGCTTTGAGATTGTCGAAATGCACGTGCCTGACCGTGTGCTTCGACAATTTGGACTACGGCAACATATTCCAAGGCCTGTGGAGAGAATAGAGAAAAATCCAAGAAAATGTGCACATCATGCTAATTGGGAAGTAATTCGCCAAGATTACATCCAGAGGTGGGATTTAAGGGAGGAACAGGTAGTGATGGAGAGGGCTGATGCACCTGACCAAGGTGTGTACCTGCGGTGGTATTAGGGGATTACTCGCCGGTGGATATTTCAGGAAAACAAAGCGCCGAATGAGTACATACCAAGAGCCCAATCGAGAGAGAGTTGGTAAGTGTATAAGAAAAATATACACTTATTTTTTGAGTTTTATTTTCTCACCATCCACTTGATAATAATTTTCTTTCGGTTTTTATTTTATAGGTTCCACTTGATAATAATTTTCTTTCGGTTTTTATTTTATAGGTACAAGAGCTCGAAGAGCTTTCTACTATGGCACATGACGCATTGCGCACGACTACCGAGCAGGAGCCGAGGAACACGTTCCTTCGAATGATAAAAAAGATGTGGTCGGCTCTTCAGAGGACGCGTAATGCAAGTCGTGATGGACGGGAGGAGCGACCAATTGAGTACGGGCAGCGACGTCGACGAGGACACACGGGGGCGGGATCAAGCCGTGCACATGATGAAGCTGGCGGCTCACAGCAGGCTCAGGCCGGATGTTCACAGGCGGTTCGAGTCGACGCAGATGTCATGCGCTCCTAACTTCACACACAACCGGACGAGGAACTTATCCGAGCTCATGTCGAAGGTGAACGGGGAAGGGGGAGAGGGAGAGGGAGAGGGAGGGAAAGGGCGTTGTTGATATTTGTTAAGTTTCGATGGACTTGATAGGATGTTTGCGTTTGAGTTGCAATTTGGACTTGATATGTTGTTTGTGTTGCGATGGATTTGATATAATGTTAAGTTTGCGAATATGAATTGTACGTATGATATTTGTGTTTGTGATTGCATTGTGGATTGATAACAGGAGTATGATTGTATTTTAGCATGTGTTATTTGTGATTACATTTTGTACTACGGGAAGTATGAGTTTCCAGGTGAATGAGGGCTGGAAGGAGGTCTGCAAAATGGTCGGGGTTGGGAACCCTGACCATTTTGTGCACCTACATTGGCCCTGCGTTTGGCCTCTGCTTAATGGTCGAGGTTGGGAACCCCGACCAACCCCGACCAATTAGTTTAGTGTTTCGTAGCGGATGGACTAAACAGTCGAGGTTGGCAACCCCGACTGTTTACGAGGCCGTTTAAAAAATAATCAACCCGGTTTCTCGCCACGGCGCTGACGTGACGAGAAACCGGGTCGATTCCGCTAATTAAAACTCAACAAGGTCGAATTCGGTAATAAAAAGTGAAAATGGGTCTACAGTGAAAATTTCCTCAATTTCAAATGCATTAATGACGCTTACAAAGGCACTAAAAATTGAGGTAACGGGTAAACCCGTGATTTAAATTTAACAGAAACATTAAACATTTCTCCATACGGACGGCATCAAAGTTACATTCACGAAACATTAAATTTTGATATTTGTCGTGCAGTCATCACCTGCCACCGTGGGCGAGCCTACCGGCCGCTTCGCGACAGCAGAGGAAAGTCCCCCGGGCATTGACATTGAACACCAGGTCCCACTCCTCGACCGAGGTCTGCGACAGCATCGGAGTTTTCGGAACCACAACCCCCGCGCAGTTGACAAGGATATACGCCGGCCCACCAAAAGCAGACTCAGCGGCATCGAACACGGACTTGACAGCATCGGGGTCGGAAACGTTAGCTTGGACAGCGACAGCAGGTGATGGAGGAGACGACGAGGGAGGCTGCGGCGGTGTTGGATGCGTAGGCGATGACGAGGTTGGCTCCGAGCGGAGGCAAGGTGAGGGCGATGGCGCAGGCCAATGCCTCGACCCCGCCAGTTGACGATGGCGGTGTGGTTTATGAGGGGGAGGGAGGGGAGGTGGCTGTTGTTGGGGTTTGAAGCCATGGGATATTGGTTTTTGTGGGTTTATGGCGAAGGGTGTTGAAATGTACGCAGGAGAGCGTTTAAGGTGGCGGCTCGGTTATAATGTCACAACCGAACTTTTGGACTCGTTAGTATATACAGGTACAGAGGCAGCGGTTTCAGAGTTCTGAACGTTAAAAATACTTGCCAGAAACCGCAGGAATCTCAAACAGTTTACCTGATCATACACGCCCTGGGAACAGCCAAGCTTCATCAAGTAGTTTTTCACTAGTACAAAACTGCATAATCTCAAAATAAAATCCTACACCTTATAAGAGGCTGAAGATACTTCAAACATGAAAAGAATAAAAAAAGCTCTCTTCACACTCTAGATCAACAGGATAGAAATCCTCTTCACAAAATCAGGCTTTGCCAAAGAAAGGCGCTGATATGCTTTGCTAGGAGCAAAGTTGCAAGTAGGAAACGGATATCTTCCAAATTACTGCATCAATAAGAGTTGGTAAAAGCGTGCGATACCATATGCATAAAACACCTCATGCAATGCCATACGCGGTACTAAATACCCATATATCAGTTCCAAGGATGGTCAGATCGTGCACATACGAAAACTTCATTGTTCTACTTAATGATCAATAATCATGGGCCAAAGCACCACAACTCATTATTGCTTGTGATATTACAAGCTACAATAGTCCACATTTTAAAACACGTACTCAAATCATGCGCCCTTCTCTTAGAATACTCGTTCATCTTATTGCATGGCCTCGACTCCAACAAAACCCTTGCAATGCTGCTTACTATTTCTCATGGAAATGCAGGATGAATCAGCTACCTCCCTCTTTGAAGAAAAAGAAGTTCACAGCTTGGGAGAGGGGTACCATCCCCATGGCTCGTTCGATGTGTACTCAGTCACCTGCTTCACACTCAGGTAGTTATCAAGACCCCTGCAGAAAATGAATCACGGTTTATTAATATTAGGGTATTAATCAACTTTTAGGTTAATTGCAGATACACCTCTTGTATTACGAGGGTGTGGCCACTTGTACCCTCTAAACTATTTTATTTGCATTCTGGAAAATTTTTGGGTATAAGTGACCGACCACTGTACCACAGGGGTTGAATCTGCATTTAACTTTTTGATGATTTAGGCAGCACTGTTTTTGCAAGAAATAAATATTCAAGACCCACCATTCTCCAAGTTCGCGCCCAAAACCACTGCGTTTCTTTCCTCCCCAAGGGGCTTGACAGAAGGTGGGCTGTGAGCAGTTTATCCACGTGATTCCAACTTGAAATGCCTGCAGAGTAATAAGAGAACTATTTTAACATTCTGTATTAGCAAACTGTGTTCAATTCTATTTCATACACTTCAACAGCAACGAAGAATATGTTCCACTTAAAAATTAACAGAATTTATATAGTAAAAATTTCATAAGCCTAAAACTTCCAAACAGCGACTTCACTGCAATACTGGATGGCTTAGATAATCATTGCCAACCAACTAGGATTCAGTTATGAATGCCCCTGCTCTCTGTCAGTCAGAAATTAACATCAATTCAAAATGGTACTTCATATCAACTTGTTCACCATTTAATTTGAAGTATTAACTAATACAGAAAAGGGGTTCAAAGCTTGTCAGCATTTATCGCACCATACATTGACTAAAGATGCTTTCATTTTAGTTTCTACCTGATGTAACTTTCCATCCTCGCATTGCTTATTCTGAACTCCCTTCTTTTTGAATAAATAAACATTAATCGGCTAAATATTTAGCTTAAATGTGGGATAAAGGCTTTACTCCCTTCTTTTTGAATAAATAAACATTAATCGGCTAAATATTTAGCTTAAATGTGGGATAAAGGCTTTATTGTTGTTGCTGTTGATGATGATGATGTAATCGGCTAAATATTTAGCTTAAATGTGGGATAAAGGCTTTATTGTTGTTGCTGTTGATGATGATGATGGTAGCAATGGCTGAATATTAACTTGAAGAACTAGTAACAGTAATGTTCACTACATCAGTGCACTAAAGACCATGTTGATAGTCATTTATCATTGTTGTTACTCGTACTTCAATCATCCTTCCCACCATCAGTACCATCCAACCATTTTCCGTTATATATAGGTTGAATAAGAATCAGATAAAAATCCTTTAAAAGTAGCCTTTTCATTTTCTTTCTAAACTTTTTTCCCCAATCCATAGAACTTCAGAAAGTTCCTACTATGTCGCAGGAGCTTAAATCGCACCTATAAGGTAGCTTTAACCTATCCCATAACAGGCCTTCTTGATTTATGACTTTTGAGCTTAAATCGCACCTATAAGGTAGCTTTAACCTATCCCATAACAGGCCTTCTTGATTTATGACTTTTTAAGGTTCTTATTGTCACTAGCCTGTTTTTAACAACAATTACAATATTATGCCGGGTAAAAAGGCAGTTGTAAAGTCTGACATTTCGCAAAATTTTGTTTCAAGATAAGATCTTAGGAAATGCTTTGATTATGGAGCAAAGCCGGAAGATTAAAAAAAGCACGATGCAATTGTTGGATTTAGTCTAATGCAGTGTACAAAATAAAAGATAATCATCTGAAATAATGCAAACTTTTAACCTGGAAACTATGGAGCAAGAAAGAAACTTATAAAACCTCTCTAAGGCCAAGTTTGCAGGTACGAAACCAGCCCACTGATCATGCAATTTAAACAAATTTGACAAAGGAGATATCCTGTGGAGGAACCCTATACCAAAGAGTCTAAGATAAATGTGAGACGTAGACTTTTATTATGATAATTTTAATCTGCTGGTCTCATGTAAGCCTAAGGCCAAACTGATAAGTAATGGAAAACCCAGTAACTTCCATAGCATAAATCACTGAAGATATATCGATGACCTAAAGGCTCAATGCCAAATGCTTTGATAAAGATAGCCAATTCCTTGTCAAATACAGTAACAGAAATATGTGCAAGTTCAAGTGTACCTCAGTTATGCGCTTGCAGCGCTCAGGATCCTTTGAAATCACAGCACCAGCTAAACCATAACTGCGAGAAGTTAATGAATAAGAAGCAACAACAGAAAAAGAGGAGAAGAAAAAGAATAGGAAAAAAAAACACTGTATAGCTTCAGCATTTGAAATCTCAGCAAATTTACACTAGGGTGAAATAACATACGGTGTATCATTTGCAAGTTCTACAGCTTCATCTTCAGACTTGAATGTTTTAACACAAAGGACCGGCCCAAAAACCTCCTCTCTCCAAATTTGCATAGACGTATCAACATTGGTTATGATTGTTGGTTCAATAAAGTACCCTTTCTCAAGATGCTGTCATTTTAACAGTATCAGCTGATTTCACGACATAAATCCTGTTACAAACACTAAAGAGTGTGGATGAACTAAAGAATAATTTATTTACCTTTGGGCGCTCACCTCCACACAGAATTGTTGCACCTTCACTCCTTGCTGTTGAAATAAATTTCTTTATCTTCTCATACTGAAATCAAATCACCCAATCTTAGTCACCAATTAGAAAGTATGCGAAGGACTTACTAAATTCAACTACGCAATAACACTGCATTCTCATATGCTTTCCAAAAAACATTAAGCAGACTAGAAAAGAAAAACTTCGTACACGAAATTGCAAAATGCAAACTTTTACTGCAGGCAGATGAATAGCATACACGTTTAAACTGAAAAACGATGAGAGCAGAGTAGGAGTATGCATCACAGCAAAAAGGTAGAGTAACAGTTTGATGGAATATCTGGTCAGAAACATAGGCAGATAAAAGTGCTACTCAAATTAAACATCTCAACAATTGATTTAGAAGCTAGAATTGGTTGCCATTTGTTTCACTGCAGCTGCATCTCTTTGCAACTGCAGATGCAAATTGAACCACTTTTTGCAAAAAATAGCTTGCAATCAGTTTGATATTAAGTCATTTCAGATAAAACTGGTCCCTTTTTTGCAAAAAAAAAAAACTAGTCAACATTGTATTGTTATTTTTTCATCCGGAAGTTCATTAGTGAAATAATCAAAGATGCAAATAGTCATAGCAACACACTGCATATGTAACAATATTGTATAATTTTTTTGGAGAACTTTATGTTCATGTTGGTCGATGGTGTCCTGAAATAAACCAATTATATGCAAGTTACAAATTATTTGAGGTGATCTTCAAAAAACAAAAGAGGCATTCTAAAGCACTAAGAACAACTATAAACTTGCAAACAAGAGCACAGAAAATTTTAAGAATAAGCATATCCAGGACTATGAAAAACATCTCTGTGGGTGCATTTAATACCGCCGCAAAGTCTCGTGTTTTATTCACCAGTCTAGTTTCAACACGTTACACTAAAGGCTAAATATCTACAGTGTATAACTTTTGCTAATTGCCTGAAAGGAATACCACTCTCACCTGTCCTGCACTGACAACAGGACCAAGCCTGCAACCTTCTTCTAGAGGATCTGCCATCTTGATGCTTTTAGCCCAGATAACTAGTTTCTCCATGAATTCTTTTTCAATGCTTTCCTGTATTTCCACAATGCCATAACATCACAATGTTTCATGTACATTAGGAACCACATTAAAAGAAGAGGTAGTAGGTATTCAGTTAATTCCTAGAGGCAATTAAGGAAAAGTTGCAATAATGTATTCAAAACAAAATAGTCACATGCTAGCAGACACTCTAATCCATTTAACTGTAAGGAGCCTAAAGAATGATTCAAAGAATATAACTAATTCCAGTGGCTATTATTAAAAAGCTCCATCTTTATTTCTATAGCAAATAATTAATGTGCTACTGCCTTCAACTTGAACAATACTTTCGTTTCAAGTACCTATGTAAGATAGCGCTGAAGGAAGATACCCAATTCCAGCATTTTAAAAGAAAAAGGCCAGGTCAAAGTGATGAGGTCCTATATTAAGAGGCGCTAAAAAAGGCGATAACCTGAGTGAACCAAGCGATAAATATTCAAAAAATTCACAAACGTTGCAAATAATATGCAAATATCAATAAATAGCAACAAGACAAATTAATCATAACCCAATTTCCAAAGTCACACATTTAATAGGTCATAAACCATCTAAATAAAGTACTAAGTAACAAATATTGAATAGTAATATTAACTAGTAACTTTTAACACAGATAATTAAGTAACAACCTTCGAACGTTAAGGTTCAAATTATGACATGTCCTCAAAATGATATAGATAATAAAGTATATTTCAACAAAAAGTAGTAACAAATCTATATTGAAAAAAGAAACAGAAAATTCAGTAACAACAACAAACTTTACTTTATCGGACACCTTATGCGCCCTCAAAATTTTGAAATAGAGACGAGCACCTCGCGCCTTGCATCAAATGCCTTAGGCGAGCGCCTAAGGAGCCAATGCAAGGCCACAAGGTGCCAAGGCAAGCTAATGAGGCGCCAAAAGGCGATCGCGTTAGTAGCAATACGCAAAGCGCTAAGTTACAAGATTGCCTTGCCTGAGCGCTTGCGGCGCTAAGGCGCATCGCCTTTAAAACACTGCCCAATTCTATCCAGTTCTTGAATTCCAACTTAAGATGTGTTAAAAAATTTGTTGTGTTAAAAAATTAGTTGTGTTACAAAATGAGCTACCAAGAAAAGAAATGGTGGGGTCAACTTTCTCCGATGTGACTATCAGGGTGAGTCTTGCTACTATATCTTGGTTGCTCATTAGTAAATGATTTGCCACCTCATACCCATCCACTCTCATCCCCCACCCCTAACAACACAGCCTAAGATGACTGTTTACAATAGATTATGGAAAACTTTTACAAAACATACTTACATGTAGAAGAAGACGAGAAGTCGCACTGCATATCTGCCCATTTGTCCAAAAGCACCCGAAAAGAGTCCACTCAACGGCTGAATAATTGAACATATATGAGATTGAGAATCTGGTCTTTACATTATGGACTAATTACAAAGTCACAATCAAGATACAAAAAATTAACTATTTTGATTAAATGAATAACCTGACCTATTTATGTTACAAATGAGGCAGTCTTTGGCAAACTAGCTCACTGGGTTTATACACCAACAATAGTGGAATGCACAAGCAATCATTTCTTTGATGAAATTTACGAAAAGAGAGATTTTAGGTAAGCAAGTTTCAGGACTGTTGGCTGACTGACCTTTCTCAATATCCACATCTTCAAATACAACAATTGGGCTTTTCCCGCCAAGCTCCAATGAAATTGGCTGAAAAGGTGGAAGGAATTTAATAACAGGCTCTTCTCAAGCTCAAATTTTTAACTGGAAGCTGCTCCGCATATTTCTAACTAATGGATAGGATGATGAATTCTTCACATCAAACAAAACAAGTCCGAAAAGCACAAAACATGATCCAATCACGACAATGGAAAATTCAAAATTTGTACTTCTAACGAACCTTCACCAATTGTGCAGCAGCCGTCATGACATTTCTCCCAGTTGCCGAGCTACCAGTAAAAGCAATCTATAAGACAAAATCAATTCATTTCCACCAAACACAACTGTAAATTCAAAATAACGAAACAGGACTAGGACCAAGAACAACGATTTACCTTGTCAACATGCGGATGAGATGCCAAAGGAGCACCAGCTTCAGGCCCAAATCCTGTTACTATGTTTAAGACGCCAGCAGGTAGTCCTACTTCCATGCATGCTTCAGCAAGTTCTAAGCAAGTCCTGGTGACAAAAATGTGACAGGGAGTCCAAAATTTTCAAGAAGGTAAAGTAAGCTATTCACAAGTCTTACACTGATGCAAGTTCAGAGGGCTTTAGTACAGCTGCACATCCAGCAGCCAAGGCAGGAGCAACCTTCCACGTGGCCATTAATAAAGGATAGTTCCTGCAATGAAATTAAAAAATGTTAAATTCCAATGTAAGTATATGCATGAATTAAGAAAAGCAAACTTAGAGCATATACCAGGGAGTAATTAACCCAACAACTCCAATTGGTTCTCGAAGAACATAGGACTTAAATGTATCCATGGGAAGGGAAACAGGACTTCTTTGCTTCGCGTCCAAGGCTTCAGCAAGATCTGCATAGTACTCAAAGCAGCCAGCAACATCATCCTGAACAAGGCACGCAAAGGTTTAGATTTACAGGTATTGACACTTGATTTAGATTGTGAAAACCAGCAGACATACTATGTCCCATGCTGCTTCATCCAGAGGCTTCCCACAATCAAGCGCCTCTAGCTTAGCCAGTTCAGACTTCCTCTCTGTTATCTGAACCCAAAGAAAGCAGAAAGGGCGCACCTCAAAAGATAGTAAACTATTTGAAGTAAAAGAAAAAAAAAGATCCACTTTTAATAGGAAGTAAACAATGGGAAGTAAACAAGTGGAAATAAAACATCCTTACTGCAGATACTGTCTCCAATATTTTAAACAAAATCAAATTGAATACATACATATTGACGAAAAAACCATCTTTTTTGGACATAGTATTACATGACTTCGGTTATGTTGTTTATCAAAATATGAATGTGAGTTTGTATTGAAAATCATATCATTGCCTTCTTTATGACAGGCTGTTGATGCCAAGTCAAAAGGCAAACATAAAAAATTTTCTAACCATCACTGGAACCTTGTGCTCCATAGGTGACCACATTTTGAGGAATGTTTTAGATAAAGCTGTTGATAAACCAATTTTTTATTGATAGTCAGCACTGGTGAGATATTAGTGCCTCCTAACGAATACGATATCTATATTTGTTACATTTACAAATAACAGGATAACAAAACTCAGCTAAAAGTTAATTCTACAAAGTAAACAACTTGAGTTGTCCTTTGTTAGTTTACTGAGAGAAAGACAGTTCCCCATGTAATGTACAGGGAAACAAAATGCAGTGCATAGCTATTTTCAATTGCAAAAAAGTCCAATATCTTATATTTGCTGCTCTGTAGAGAAGATCTACCTGTCGATATTTTGATTAAAGCTTCTATGAGCAGCCAAGTAAACAACCAGAATTCCTAGATCTATGACCCAACTACAGGGTGAGATGGAATAGTAATTAGTAAACGGTTACCTTCTTAAAGTAATAAAATTACAATATCCCCTTTTTCACCTATAGCTAGTGCTATCCTACAGGAAGTGTAATGTCCCTTATCCCATCTCCTCATTGCTTAACGCCTCAAACTTATGTATCAGCATTGTTTTCTCTTTCCGTGCTACAATTATCCATTTTTTGATTGCCACACAAAGCGGCAAAGCTATATGAGATGTCAAGATACAAATACACAACATGTAATATGTTTCAAACCCTTGGCAAATGCTTCCTTTTCAAAAAGTGATAATACAAGGTGCTAATATTCACCATTTACGGAACCTACTGCCTGTGTGAAAACAGTAGCATGCTATGTGACTATGTCCAATGCTCTATTCAATTGTTCTTCAAAGTCTAATAAAGTATGAACACCCTTATATGTATAAACTCTAACTATAATCATCACACCACAAAAATCCAACTTGATGATTCTTGAAGACTAAGAAGAAGTGGAAAAGGTTCTAAGAAGAAGTGGAAAAGGTTCATATAAGATATCAAGACTTCATAATAAAGATTAAAGTAGAAGAATCTAAGTTCTCGATTCTTGGAACAAGAACAGAACTAAGTGCACCACTCTTCCAATAAGTGCATCTTTGATTAGTAGTAGGAGTAGCAAATGCATTTACAAGTTACAACATAATATATTTTCAATTCTTACTGCTGGAACACACACATCTGAATGCATCACTAACTCTCCAATTTTAAATTATTTTGTTTTTACAAGTCACAACTTTTTGTAGTCATAACACCACCCAACTCACCAAACATATTTCTTGGATTTTGGATGAAGTTTGAACAACGTGAGGTTCCAACCAACTCCTATGACCCAAACACATTAAAAATATCGTTTTCAAATTATTCAGCCATCAGCCATGTCTTAAGGCATACATGCGAATTCCAGAAAATTTTGACAAGTTAACTATACATTTCACGAAATTGTCATGAACTCAGGGGAAGGGGTCTCACAAAACCACCATAAACTTTTTCCCAAAGAGAATAATTATCATGAATTTTCAAAACTACGGAAAAATACCATGTCGCTACTAATGATACTAGGAAAAAAGGACAAAAAAACCCATTTGCAAGGAGAACAGGAGAGGTAATATAGTATACATATAAAGCACACAAGGACAAAAAATTATCCAATACATGTCACATGTGAAGATGACCAACTCTCCTACCTATAGTCAGTTCATAGTTTTCTCTGATAAAAATTTTAATGGTGCCTTTTTGCAAAACCACCCTATAGTCGTGATAGTTCTCTGTGGAATTTACTCTTTTTAAGTTTCTCCCAAGGAGATATCAAAAACCTGAGATCCATAACCTGTACACCAATCAATGAAAAAAAATTGAAAAACAGGAACATTTAAATCTCTACCTTAGCAGCAATTGCCCGGAGGTACTTAGCACGAAAAGCTCCTGTAGCACGAGCCCATTCCTTACCACCGTTCCTCTTCAATGCTATCCTCGCCGCCTCCACCGCCAGATTCACATCCTCCTCGGTCGCTGCCGGTATATCTCCTGCAATCAAACGAAAACAACAACCCCAACCGTCAAGAAACCCCTAAACTTAACGAAATAACACAGGAAAAGAAAAAAAAAGGAAGGACTTTTGTCAAGACCCCAACTTCACGGTCTTCATTCTCTACCGAATTTTACTGAAGTCGCTTTTCTTTTCAAATTCTTTCCTAATTTCCCCTAAATCTTCATATTTCCAAGAGCTAATCATACAACTATGGCCAGAACCCAAGCAAGATAGTGTTATTTAAAACATAACTTAGTAAATTTGGGCTGAAACGAAATCGACAACGCCGATCATCAAGAAAACCCTAATTTTGCTTTAAAAAGGGGCAAAAATCGAACCGATGGTGGCCTCAGTGGCCGGGTTGATGATCGGGATCCGCTTGCCGAGGACAGGTTCCCGCCACCCGCCACTCGCCGCCGATGAACAGTTGCCGGTGAGGGACTGCGATCGACATGACTGAGCAAGGGAAGCAGCTTTCTCGCTTGATCTATGTGTTTTATTTCTATCTAATTGATAAAATATCTAATAAAACCCGATAAGCCCCATTTTAAAAAGCTGATCCACCCTAGCTTTTTAAAAAATAGAATCTGAAAATAATCAAATACATGTGAAGTACTACAATAACTACAAAATATGATAATTAGTTAAACGGACAACTAAGATATCCCATCAACCTGCGACTCTCCGTGCACCGGACTCGCTGCCTGAAAGAGGGGAAACAACGAGCGTCAAAGCGCTGGCGAGATCATCACTCACTACCTCTCCCTAGGGGAAGAGATAGGAGTATATAAGAAAATAGAGTCAGTACATACATATATCAAATCATTCATATAACTCTCTATGAAAGAAAAACAAATAATCAATGATAAATACTTCAATCTCCAACATAAAAAATAATCATCTCATCTCGAAGTACATCCGAGTAATCTGCTCCAATATAAGAGGATACCAACTAAGCTAAAACAAATATATTTGTCGTCCATAACGGGTGTGTCAAAAATCTCAAAGTTAATACCCTACTCGTGGGTAAATTCTCATGAAAGTAAAGCTTACAACTGACCAATCAAAAATCTCAAAGTTAATACCCTACTCGTGGGTAAATTCTCATGAAAGTAAAGCTTACAACTGACCAATTATCTATGTGTACATCATCTCGTATTATAGCGATATTTTTGTAAGGCTCTTTACTCAATCGCTCTGCGGCAATAGGGTTTATTATTTTCCTATTCCGGATACATGTAATAACGATATTATTGTAATACTCTTACTCAATCGTTCTGTGACAAATAGGTTTTATTATTTTCCTATTCCGGATACATGTAATAACGATACTATTGTAATACTCTTACTCAATCGTTCTGCGGCAAAAATGTTTCATCTCCCTATTTCAGGATACGAATAGAACATCATTATTCATATGTGTTTATCAATTTAACTCGTGTCGAAAGTGTGTCAATCTAACACAACCTAGCATACATGCATCAATCTCGGTGTGCGTAAAAGTTAGGTTTGATCAAACAAATTATTATTCCACTCAAATAATTTTTATAACATTTTATCAAAAAAATCAAAAGCCAGTAAAATCTAGCATAACTTTAAAAAAAAATTAAAAAAGTCTTCCCAATAAGCCTCTATATCTCGTTGATGATGCTACTCCAGGCTCCTATCATAATTGGAGGGATTAATTTCAAACAAATTTTATGAATTGGACTTGATGACAATTTTAATAATTAAAGGGACTGGTTTTAAGATAACTTATAAGCACCAGATAACTTGATAATAATGTGGACAAAATGATTATTTTCCAAGTATTCTCAACTTTCAAGTTGCTTTCTAGTTTATCATTTTGCCTATTTTTCTTTCTTAAGCTATTTGTATGTGTTTAATGTGATTATATTATAAGTTTGCAATTAAATATTCAACTTATTAATGACGTGATAGCGTTTTTACTTTCATTCCTTGTATTTCTTACGAACTAAAAAATTATTTTTTTAATTCGCGCAAAGGGTTGAACGCTATGTTGGATCTTGCACGCAATGCTCAAAGCACTAGAAGGGAGATGAATAGTACTTTTAAAATTTTCTTTCGAGATTAAAAATAACTATGCAGCGGAATAAGATTATATCAACATTAATAATCACAGTAGATATAGAATACTCAAATTAGAAAAACACAATCACAAACACGAGGATTTATCCTGGTTCGGTCCTCCAGACCTACATCCAGTCCCCAAGCAACCTGCTTGAGATTTTCCACTATTCTTGAATTCCCTTACAAGAATAACACCTGAACCTTGACAATCCCCTTTGTTGAACCCTAGAGGGGGGGTGATTAGGGTCTTAAGGCTATAATAGTGCAATAAAAATAAGGCAAACAAAACACCACACAAATGAACAACAAATGTAAAGGAGATAGGATGAGAAATCGTTATCCAAGCGACGCGCGGTGTGTTAACGAGGTTTGGCCCGCTGACCTACGTCCCCGCTCCCCACTCTCGAGGAGAAATCCACTACACAACCCGGTTTGGAAGCCAGCACTCTCGAGGAGAAATCCACTACACAACCCGGTTTGGAAGCCAGAACTTCTTCTACACAACGATCTCCACAAGATCTTACAACTACACAGTTGATCACCACAAGATCACACTCCCACACAGTTGATCTTCACAAGATCAAGCTCTTAACAGTAGTAATGGTGTAAAAACTCTCTCTTTACAATGTCTCTATGGCAAGGAGAAAGATTACACAGAAGCTGGGATGTGAACACAGGAAAACACAGAAAACAGGTTTAAAATTTTTAGCTCTCAGTAAAAGAAAATCTTTGGTTTTTCAAATGGCTTGGGACTAGAAGAAGAAGGGGTATAGGGGGGTTTAAATAGGAGAAAACACAGCAGCTTAAACCCATACCTAAATCCCCCAAAACCAGGAATAATCAGCGTAGAGATCTGTACCAAAAGACCGTTGAAAATAAGTGGCGGTCGACCGTACCATTTTCACGGTCGACCGCGAGACAGCTCAGAAACAGAGAAAAAGTCCAGAGACTTCTGCGATCGACCGTGGCGGTCGGCCGTGGCGGTCGGCCGTGGGAAATCTCGAGCTCACGGTCGACCGCGATGGTCGACCGTGAAAGTTTCTGCTGCCCACTGACGAATGAACTCAGACGCGGTCGACCGTGGCGGTCGACCGCAAACTGATACATACAAAAAAACTAATTTTGACTCTCTTAAAAATTCTGTAAAATATTTGATTGACTTCAAAAAATTGTGAAACTCTGTAAAATGTTTTTGACACTAAAAATAAGTTGTTTGGAAAAAGAATTTTGCCAATAGGTCCTCATACTTGTGGAAAATAATATTTTGTGAAAACGCTCAAAACTATAAGTATGAAAACGTGTGTGTGATATCCCAATAGCTTCAAATGAAATCTAAACTACTTGCCTACATTTTAGCACTAGAGAGAAAATAAAAACTAGCTAATATCCTCACGTAGAATACAATTCTTTGAGTCTTGATATAGCTTGAGTTTGATGAAGCTTCTTATTGCATTTAGTGTTCTTGAATGAACGTTGCTTCATCACTATGTTTCCTCCTCCTTTGGATATCATCGTTGTAGCTCATATTCCATTCAATCCTCCATGTGTGGCACTAACATGCTTGATATATATATTAACTACATTTTCACTTAACAAGCAATTAGTACCGATAATGGTGATTGTAAAACATCATCAAAACATAAGGGCAACGCCCTTGCCAAAAATACAAACACCTTCTTAAACCGGAGAAGAACCTTTCCTCAAACTTGATAGGACAACTTGAAGAAGATCACAATACTTCGCCCTATAAGCCTTGATGAAGAAGGGATCTCAGTGACTAATATGATCTCTCTTTGGATGCCCACCAACAATTTGAAAGCTTTTTGAAAATTGAAGGCAAGAGAGAAAAAGTTTTAGATTTTCAACTTGAGAGTATATCGAAATTTTGAATGAAAAGCTTTTTGTATGTAGAGAAAATTGTAAAGAAGAGAATAAAGAAAATGTGACTTTGATTCCTTTGATCTCGGT